CGCGCACGCACACATAAAAATAATTTAAAACATAATCTTTTCTCAAGCCTGGTAGTTTATCAATTGCAGGCGGGTAGTATTACATATCTCCCCAGATAAAATGCGGATGTGTGTAAATAGAATGAGTATTTTGTGAGATGTGTTAGATATATCTTTCCTATCTTATGCAGATTAAAGCGAATCAAATCTTCAGATCTAAAAGAAAACACATGAAACCTTATCCTTCCATTTAGTGGAAGAAAATGAGGCTCCCTGTAAGACATTCCGGCTCCACTTAAAAGATAATCATTGCAGCTCCTTCCACTTCAGGAGTGCTGAACTCAAGGCATCCCACAGTGAGCCAAAATACCAAGTTTGACCCTCACAGCAAGGTCTCTGGAAAGGCAGGGAGGCCTGCCTTTCTCGGGTCAATATTCCAGCTGTATTTTTTTTCCCACTCCCGCAGTTTTCACTCCTGGGTAATGCCCACAACCACGCTGAGATGACCAAAGGGCTTGTTTAGTGCTAGAAAGGCAATTACGCATGCAGGCTTCTTGGGGAGGTCGCTTTCTGAAAAGTCCACATAGACATTAAGTACTGGGGCAATAAAACTAGAAAAGCCGTCCACAGTGCCTTTGGAAGGTCTCTGTGTCTCTGAGGCTCTGCGGAGCTCAGTTGGAAGTTGTCCTGGAACATGGGCCTTACCGCACCTGCTTAGGGAGGGCATGTGCCTGGAATCATCTCTTCCTTAGACAATGGCAGGCCTCTGTAAAGAGGGGGAGTCGCTGGTACTGCTCATCCTTGCCCCCTGGTATTGCTAGGAGAATCCCAGACAAAAGACCTAGTCCCCCAAACCAGGTTGAGGCTGAACTGGCGCTGTGGGGGCCGCTTCATAGACCTACAGATGATTTACAGAAGAAAACTTCAAGGAAACCACACTGTTGAGAGCCACTTCAGTATTTTATGCGTAAGGGCTGCTGCCATCAAAGGTACATAGGTGACCCTGAAGGGAGGGAAACAGGAAGCCTGTGCCCTGGGGAAACTCTAGGTGGCTCTGAAGAGCTGGCAGCTCACAGAGAAAGGCCTGAGCTTGCAGTCCTCGTGAAGGTGAGCGTTTTCTGCCTCCGAGGGAGAGCAACCAACAGGCTAAAGGAGAAAACTGACCTGATGCTAAGCCACTCTGCAAAGGGCTTTTCTGTGCGGGCACCACAGGTTTTCCGGCTGTCTTCCCTTTGTAATTATACTGGAAACTTGCTAAGTGATTCTCTCGGTGACCCTGGGATGGACCAGAGTCAGGTTGCCCTTCAGCCTCTCCACTCTAGTCCTCTTGTGGCTGAATGAGGAGGATGGTGAGTTGGAGGCCAGCTGCTCTAAGACCCGTCCTGTCTTGGGAGGGAGGGAAAGAGGGAGGAAGTGGGTGGGAGGGAGGGAGGAAGGAAGGAAGGAAGGCAAGAAGGAAGACAAGAAGGAAAGAGAGGAAAGACAATCTCAACTCCACGACCTCCTAGCTGTGGGATCCAGTCACTTACTGTGCTTCTCCAAACCTGGCTGAGATCTGAGGGCAGGGACAGGGACGGTCAGTCTGGCTTCTTAGGATGGTGAATTTTAAATTTAATGAGATAATACACTTACAGTACTTCCAACAGTGCCGGGGAAGTAAAACTCCCTCAAACGATGTTAAATTTTATTCTGTGTATCCTGGAGCAGCATTGATATTTATACCTTGCTTTTAAAAGCTCAAGTAAGGCGCTGTGAGTGTTCAGAGGACCTTGACTTCTCAGCAGCTCTAGTTAACAGGAAAGCATGCTGTATAGAAATTCAGATGTGAAAGGAAGGCAGTGTAGCTTGCCTACCAGGGTTTGAAATTATAATTGGTAATATCCCTCACCTCCCGTGAACTAGAGAACTCATCTTACACAATAGAGCCCATCCTGGAGTGTCTTTCACTTGGGCTTTTGATTGTATCTCAGCTTCCTTCCTGTGTCCATGTTCTTTGCGAGGCCGGGTGGTGGTGAGCGGCCCCTCCGCACGCTTCCTTCTCAGTGCGAGCCAACCCTAGTGCGGGACATGGAATGTCTTGCTGATCTGCTGCTGTTGAAATTCCTAGACCTTACCTGTCAGTTGACATCGTCTGGTAGGAGGATAACAGCTGAGCTTCCCCTTCCAGCCCATTGTGTGAACGTCTGTGAATACATCACAGTACATCGCAGTGGCCTCCACTCAGCCAGAAGCATTGGAAATCCCATGCGCGGCGGCCAGTCATACCTGTCCAGAATCTGAGAGAGATGGTTTGCAGAGCCCTTTCTGCTCTTGTGGATTCCCCATCCACGGACAAGCCCTTAGGGAAATTCCCAGTGACCCTAGAGACGGGTCTAGACTCATCAGTAGACTCGGAGCACTGCTCAGTGGAGATTGGCTGACAAGGAGGAATTTTCTTTGACCACCAGGGTAATAATAGACTGTGCTAAGTTGCAAAGCAAAGCCTTGGGCAGGGAAGCTTAGAAGTCAAGAGCAACAGTTCCATGTCAATGCCCCAAGGTAGTCCCTGAGGACTGAGTGATAAACCCCCTGGGTCTGAAATCAGTCCCCTAAAGGATGACCCCTTTCCAGAACTAGAAGAGGGAAAGACCCTGAGTCCTCAAGCGTCTGTAGATGGTCGTAGAAGCATAAATTGAGAAGGAAGTCAAAACCAGGACTGGTCGTTAGAATTCCTCATGTGTATGCAGGCTTATACACACACACACACACACACACACACTCTACTGTATGGCAGGCAGAATTCCTCATGTGCACACAGCCTTACACACACACACACACACACACACACACACAAACTCACACTACTGCATCATAGGCATTCTATAAAGAAACACACTAACATCAGATATCGTGTTCCCCCCATGAGGGAAGATTTCAATTAAATAATCACAGGGTATTACTTGCTAAGAAGGACTAAGCAAGAAGTACTTTGAATAGCACAACAAACGGTCATGGTCTCGAATACCCTGGGAAATCTCCTGGGGGCATAGATAGGAGAGCTCTAAGATGTTGGAACCCTTGACTCATCCTTGACTGTTGCCATGGTTATCAGAACTATTTCTCCATGTTTCGGGGTACGTCAGAGGCCTGTGTGCCTAACGAGGCCACTGCCCTGCTTCAGGGCTTTTTTTCACATTGGGAAGGCTTTGCACGTAGACAGACTCCATGCAGGATTTCCCTCCTGAATAAGTAACAAGCTGTTAGGTACACAATGAAAGCGAGGGGTGGGTGACTGATAGGAGCTGATGTTTCCGCGTCCCTCCTGTAGCCTGAGATTAAAGTCTCTGAAATCCTCAGCCTCTGCGGCAGGAGAATGGCTGAGATGGCTCGTGTCACTTCACAGGTGGTGGCATGTGTGTCCCCATCCCCAAACGGATTCGAGGCAGACGTGGGGCGACTGAGCCCATTTTTGTAAGAGTGTAGGGCTGCGCTCTCAGAACAGCACGGGGAGAATGATAGTTGGTGTGCCAGCGGGCAAGGGGAACAAGCTGGACCAGGAGGCTCTGCACCACAACCATTGCCAATTGGTCCAGAGGAGTGGCGTGAGTGAGGGGACCACCTCGGTGTGCTGCCGTTACTGCGACCAAACATGCACCAAAGATGAACATTAACAAATGCGTCTTGTTTCCAGTCTGTTGCTTTGTTGTTTATCAAATGTTTGAATTCCATGGGTCCTCAGGATCACCTTGAGAGCTGTCAGTGTGGTCATCTAAAGATGGCAGGCAACACGGAGGCTCACAGTAACCACGTGATTTATCACGGGTCACACAATTCAACCTGACACACCGGCAAAGGAAATAACCCCTTAGTGTCAAGAGACTATACTTACAAGAGGGTGGCGGTTCTAAGTGTGCCTGAGCATCTGCGTGCGTCTCCATAGAGGATGTGCCTCTCCAAGCCTTTAACCCTGCATTTCTCTCATCCCCGTGCAGTTTTTCTTGTCTTCTGTATACCATCAGTTTTACAGCCTCAAGTATGCATGGTCTTGAGGCACTTTGGGGTATTATTTTTTTTGAAGCTCTGGTGAATGGTGCCACAGTCGTAGGCAGCGCTAATTGGACTCAATGAGTTGTTTTCTAAAAATAAATGAGAAAGAGGAATGGGACATGGGGAAGGGAGAAAGCTTTGTTGGGGGGGTCATGGAGAATTGGACAGGATGGATATTATCAAGGTATATTGGACGCGTGTAAAAAATAGAAGTTTGAATTGAAAGAACATTTAAATTTCACCTTTCTGCACCTGTGATATCAGCCCTGGCATTTTGTAACACATATCCCGCCCCCACAGGTTTTTGTTGTTGTTGTTGTTTTCTTGTTTGTCGTTTGTTGTTTTTTTGTGGGGGATGAGAGTAAAATGCCAAGCCCCAGGAAAGAGTTCTGAATACTCAGATCTCAAAGGGTAAGGTAGCAGGTGCCTGGCCACATTCTGCCATGTTCCGTGGGATGCACAATGGCTGCCTTAGACCCGTAGCTTCTCTCTCACTTTAGAAAGTCGTGTGGAAAGAGAGAATGGATTAATTTGGCTGATGGCAGCAAAGAAGAAAAAAATATTAGAAACAAGGAAAGGCCGTCTCTCCTACTGAGGCTCATTTCATTCCACGTTTCACTTCCCTGGGAGAGCAGCCAATTGTTAGCAGCAAGAGTAATGTCGGCCGTTTTTTTTTTTTTTTTTAAATTCCACTCTTGAGTATTATGGAGATAAATAACTAAATGATGGAGAAATCACTTTCTTTCGCGGTAGTGGTTTAAGAGGAGTAAAGAGAACTCAAAATGCAGATAATATTGGAAGACGTGAAAAAAAAAAGTCAGCCATGAGTGGAACATTGGCTCTCGCTGTAGGTACAGTTTCAGAAGGAGTTCCTCTCTGTATGGCTGCTGTCAAGAGGCATCTCGCTAATAGCGAAGGGAGGTGGATGCACAGGCTTCTTTGAAGTCCCCGCAATGCTCCAAGGGGAAATGACGCCTCTGCTCTGTTTTTCCCAGGGCCCATGCAGGAGACCATATATGACTTCTGGAGGATGGTGTGGCATGAGAACACGGCAAGCATCATCATGGTGACCAACCTTGTGGAAGTGGGAAGGGTAAGCCAGCCCATGCTCTGCAAATGGCCTTTGGTCCCTTGTTGGGTCAGTGATCCAGAGACATGAATCATGCTCTTGAAGTATTGCACATACTCCAAAAGAAAACTTACCCACCCCAGCTTCTCCAATTGCTTACCACGGTTGGTTATACGTTTTCGGTAAGCACAGTCTGAATGGCTCTCGTTTGCTGAAATAGCAACAGACAGGGAATGCACTCAGGATTTAAAAGCTGCCGTTATCTGGTTATTTTGAGCATGCAATACCTCGAAGCATTGATGCTGGTTGTTGCGTGTCAAAACCCTGTGGGTGCTACAATAGATATGACAACATTCTGTACGTCAGGGGAATTGGTTGGAACAACAGTGTGCATTGCTGGGATCCATCTGTGGATTAGAAACCTAGCATGCTATCACGCTTCAGTATGCCTTGGTGTTGTAACCTATCAAGTTAGAGCCGTAATCCACCCCAAAGTTCTTTTACTCCTGTCTCTAGTGACTGTTTATGAGTTTTCATTTTGTTTAACCGGGAAGCTGATGAGCGGTGGTAATCTTAGCAATGGCATGTTATCAGATTACCTCTGGAGCACCAATTTTAAATGAGCAAAGATAAAGGGTACAACAGCCTTATAATGGGTTCAATTCCATGGTGATGCTCAGCCCAAATGAAGAGCCCATTACTTCTTAGGGAAGTTGCTATTTATATGCAGCAAAGACAGCCTAGTAGTTGTCCTAGAACTGAATCATTGAAGCAAGAACCTTAAATGGGGGTGGTGATTAAGATTTCTAGACGGTGTCAGGAGGCACAAACAAATACAACAATTGTCTCAGAAAAAGATCTCAGTAAGTGGAATATACTGAATATTCTAGAAAAGGTGACAGACTAGATAACCGGACCGTCAACAAACATCTTGAAATTCTAGATAAGTCATGCTTATTTTTTTTTAAAGCTCATGTACATCGTATGAGTATGTAAGTAGAGTTGTTTAAAATATGCAACTTAATACTCATGAATGCAAGACACCACAGACCTGAGGTACACGCGGATGGAGACTGTAGTGGGCCCAGAAACAGGCAGCGGAGCTCTGTGTCTATCTTGGTGAGAGGTACCCTGATTTTGAAGCCAGTGACGGTCAAGAGATGACATCTTAGGGCCCTCGGGGTTAACATAATAGCCAAACCTGTGGGGGTGGATGGTCAGATAGAAGTCAAACTTGGGGAGGAAGTGGGAAAGAGGGGAGAGAAGGGAACATCCACTTGCCCTGGGAAATGACAGTAGCATTGCTCCATCTTCACTTAAGATCCCAGGAAACTGAACCTGAGCCGAACTCATGGGTCAAGAGGTCAAAAAAGAGTGTCTCAGAGAGTCACCCCCATGTCTGTGGGTTCTATGGTCATGGATTCAATCAACATATCATCCACAAAAAGAAAAAAAAGGAAAAAATAAGAAAGCATCTGCATTCAACATGTGCGGGCTTATCCCTAGACAATAGAGTGAACCTGTTGACATTACACTGTATTGAGTATCACAAGCCATCTAGAGACGGTGTAACCCATGTATCTAAGAGGACGTTGCCTAAGTTCCATGGAAACGGTCTAGCAGTTTATATAAAGGAGACCCCAGGGGAATCTTAGAGCCAATTCCCCATTGATATTGAGGGAGAAGTATATAAACTCACAGGATGCAGGTAAAGCGAAAAGTTCCTAGATGCCCTTTATTAAAAGAAAGATGAGACTTCTAACTCAAGAAAGTGGACACAGTAAAACCAAAGAGAAATAAGAAAATAGAGAAGAAATTTATTAAATTATAGTAACAAATATTAGCAAATACAAACCTAGTTATATGAAATAGACAAACTTTTGGCAAGAGATCAGAAATAAAAGGAAGAAAACCAGATATCGTGAATATCAGAAAGAGGATAGTGACTAATAATAAACTAATAGATTTGGTAATTTTGTAGAAAAACATATTCTCTAAGACCAGTTCCCGAAGAAAATGAAATTATGACAGAACAATTATTTAAAAATTGAAGCATAACCAAAATTCCGCCATGAAAATGTACTAGACAAAAATTTGTTTGTTGGTACTCAATATTCAAATTTTGTATAGTTTAATTTTATAAGTTATAAAATACAAAAACATTTTATATGTTTTATAAAAATGATTCTAAAAATAGAAGAAAAGATTCTTTTCCTATCTTACTTTATAAGGATAGGACAACCTTGAAATCCATCCCAGACACAGAACATAGGAGAAAATAAAATAGGTGTCACAAATTGGCAGGAAGAAATAAATGGGCCAGTATGTCAGAACAGAGGGCCCAGATGTTGACTGCAGGCCTACGTGGAAAGAGATCTAATTAGTGAGCTTTTCAATCAAGCCAGCTGGGACATTGCTTACCCATGTGGACCGAAAAAAGATCTCTTACTCATGGAATGCCCCCAAACAACTAAAAGCTAACAACCTCCATATTACCAATAGGACTTTAAAACTCATAGGAAATAATACAGGAAAAATATTTAAGACTTGGGGTTTTGCTAAAGACTGTTTCAAAGACAGCAAAAGCTTGGGGAAGATTGGAATTTTTGAAATTTTAAGCATGTAACGTTTTCTGTACAGCGAAGGTTACCCCAAGTGATGAATTGAGGTGGCGTTGTATGAGTCCATTGTGTAAAGCATAAAATCTTTCAAAGCCATATTTTCTGTACTGAAGATAGGAAACCCTTTTCTTTCACTTCCGTCTCTTCTGGAAGCTGGTGGAAGCATGGGTGAGCTGGCTTGGAGCCTGGTCCAGCAGGTGCTGGTCATGTGGACAACGCAGAGGGAATCTCTGGTACCATGAGGAGTGGGGTATAATGGTACCTGTATATCCATTAGGTCAGACAGCCACAACAGAATGCATTGCACTGAGAAGCATAGGCCACTGCAGACAGCCATGACAGAATGCCTTGCACTGAGAGACATAGGCCACGGCAGACAGCCACGACAGAATGCCTTACACTGAGAGACATAAGCCACAGCTATTTATTTCTTAGAGCTGTGGAAGCTGCTGAATCCACATCAAGGTCAGCATGCTGCAGAGTCTGGAGAGGGCTTCTCCTGACTTTCATGTGTCTGCGTTCTCACTAGGACTTCAAGTAGCGCGGCAGACAGAACAAGCTCTCTAGGTCTTTTCTCATACAGACACTAACCTTGTTGGATCAGAGCCCAACCGGTGAAGCGCATTTGTTCTTGCTACTTCATTTCTGGATATAGCCATCGTGGGGAATGGGTGGTCAGGTTTCAGCATTTGAATTTTGGGATATAAAATATTCCATCCATGACCACCTACTTTGGGAAGTTCTGATAGATTATGTGAGAATTTCTCCATGTCCAGTAGAGAAGTTCTTGCCCATTATGAAACTCAGTAAATATTAGGCATTAATTTTAATGTTCTATTTTTAAACCTCAGATCAGCAATGATACATATAATGACCTGTTGACTAAGTTTTCTGTCCTGCCTGGTTCCCACAGTTGTTAAATCCCAAAGAAATCACACAGAAGTCTACATTAACTATAAACTGATTGGCCCATTAGCTCAGGCTTCTTATTAACTCTTATAACTTATGTTAGCTCATTATTCTTGTCTGTGTTAGCCATGTGGCTCAGTACCTTGTATAGCAAGACAGTCACATCTTGTTTCTACTATAGCGGGGTCAGGACTGCAACTAGGACTGGGCTTTCCTCTTCCCAGAATTCTCCTGTTCTCATTGATCTGCCCTACTTCCTGTCTGGTTGTCCCACCTACACTTCCTGCCTGGCTACTGGCCAATCAGTGTTTATTTAAAATATAATTGACAGAATACAGACCATTGTCCCACACCAATGACCCTGATTTTCCTGGATATTGTAGGATAGGGAATGGCACCAGAATTCATTCTCATTTAGGTAATGATACAGTTTGGCTTGCTTTTCCCTTCTCCCTCCTCAGCAAGCACCCAGAGTGGGTGACTTCCAGATAGTGTCCAAGAGTGATTGAGTATGCTTTTGAACTCTTCTGTTAAAGAGCAGAGAATTTCTTGGTCTTGCAATCCTTCTGAGGGAACTGTACACTCATCCCAGTCTCTGGACTGACTCCACAAATATTTGCAGAATGTCCATATTCCATAGTGAGGCCTCTCTAAAGGTGGTGGTCCAGTTTTCACGGGCTTTTACAATAACCTCCTTCCCCCAAAGGAATTTGCTGCCTCAGATTTTAAGTATTGGCTTTCATGACGTAAATTATTTTGAAAAGTAATAATCAGTAAAATAACAACATCCACTAGTGTTTAGGACTAAATATTCATGGGTATTTTTTTTCCTTTAGTTGAAATTCCCGAGTATGCTCTATCCAGACTCAGAATCCTTAAGAGGGGGGTGTCTTTACACATGATAAATTCCTTTACTTTAAGGAAGATTACAGACAGTGTGGTCTTTGATGTAAAGACAGAAAGAGGGTTGTACTGTTAATTGCTGCAGTAAAGGGAGCCGTAAAGGGTAGAGAGATGCCTCCGCAGTTAAGGGCACTAACTCTCGCACAGACCAGGGTTCATTTCCTACCACTCATGTAACAGCTCACCACATCTGTAACTCTAGTTCCAGAGATCTGACACTCTCTCTCGGCACCCCCAGCACCAAGCACAGGCACACACTCAGGCAGAACATCCATGAACATTTTTTAAAGAATTAGTAATTATGTACAAAAGATTATTGGTATATTTTTTGGAAGTCCAGTTTCATCTCAAGTGGTGTAGCTCAGCAGATATAGCAACCGAAAATGCCTCCCAGTGGCAGTCACAGTTCCTTCTTCCCACCAGGCCCTGGGCCCTGCCCTGTCAGGGGTGGCCACTGGTTTTCCAACAATGGCTTTAACAAATCAGTGTGGAAACTCCAGTCAATGGGATGTAACTGAAGGGGGAAGGGGGCATTAGGTTTCTGCTTCATTTATGAATCTGTAAACACAGGCTTACCAGAGATAAAAATGC